TGGGATGCTCTGCAAGACTTGAGTAGTGGTTCCAGGTGCAGAAAGTACGAAGATAGGTTTGCTTTGTGATGTCTCAGGCACTGCACATTTAGACAAGCAGCAAAGGATGTGAAAATAACTATGTGGCTTAACCTTGCATGTACCTGAAATTATTGTCCAAAGGCTTCTTGAGCTCTCTCAGGCTTGGCTGTAATTCCTTCCCTGGGGACCACTGGAACAGGCTCCTGGTGTGACTCCTAGGGATGATCCTATGCAGGGCTGCGAGCTGGACTCAATGATCCTTGTGGGTACCTTCCAACTCAACATATTCTGTGGTCTGTGCAGCCATAGTCTTCCCTGAACAAAATGAATTTAGGCTTCTACTGTATCTGACTTGCCTCTGGCTTGAAATAGGTCGTCATCTTTATTGCATTGTAAGGGAGGGCTTATTTGCAAAATTAATGCACAGTTAGTTACAATAGGCAGATTCAAGTTGATATATTCCAGTATATCTGGAATATTTCCAGTTGTCTGGCTGCCTATGTCTATGTTAGCCTGTGTCAGCTTCCTTGTGTCAGCAGCACTAAAAGGAGAATCAAATCTAATCTCTTGTGATAGAGAATAACCTTAACCTAATGCTACAAGATGGGCCAGAAACATTTATTTGATGCTTTTTTTGGAAAAATGATATGGTTATCCAAGCTGTAAAGGATTCATTACTTTTTCATGGAACTACAGTTTAAACAGGGTCTCAAATTCCCATTCTGTTTCCTCTGGAAAGGGACCAGACTTGCATGTGGGCAGTACTGGATGCACTGCAGGTTTCCTTCAAAATGCATTTACATTTCCAGCAACTGTCTCTGAGGCTGGTATCAATTTCTGTATTTTCTGTAAGATACTTGACAATTGTGGTTTTATATTTTCCTACAGGTGTGGGTTTCATGAATATAGTGGAGTGCTCATAAGAATAAGAAAAAAATGTCTGTTCTTTCTTAGTAACTTTCAGGCAGTTTTCTTTTACTTCTTTACTTCTACTACTTTTACTTCTTTACTTCTACTTTTCTTTTACTAAAAAAGTGTGAATAAAGAGGGGATAAAGGGATTACTTTAATCTTTAAAAACTTGGGTTTATTTTGTGGTGTAGGAACAAGCTCTGGTCTGGACCTGATTGATAAAAGGATTCCATATGCCATGGAATATGGAATCCTTTTTTGTTGCCTTTGTTGTTGGTGTCTTTTGGTGTCTTTGTTGTTGGGCAGTTCTTTACTGTTGTCTTGGAATGTATGTACTTATGGGCTGTGAGACCCTTGCTCAGCCATTTTTGCACATTTGGGTTTTATTTGGACAGTTTAAAGAAACATATGTATCTGTGAGTGCTGCTGAGCTCCAGAGATGTAATTCTTAGTGTTCCAGGGTGTTCTGCACAGCGAAGATGGGGCTCTGTCTTGGCTCAAGGTCTGCAAGGCTGGGCTGTGCTCATGACACAAATTAAGCTGAGTTGTCTGAATGAGCAAGTCTGCAAGGAGGAAAGATGGGCTGAAGTTGCTGGCTCTGCTGGCTCTGAAAAGACAACAGGGATGGTGGAGTTTTTGTGAGGCAAAAGCTGTGGATGCTGTGCTGGGCACCAGCAGGCTTTTGTGAGTTATGTGAGGTCATTTGTTCTGGGTTCCTGTGAGGAAAATCTTGAATTCCTTCAATTGAATTGAAGTAGCAATCGATCCTGCATAGTAAGATGCAGTGTGCCAGCACAGGGATTCATTCTCAAGCCAGATACTTAAGGATTGCTCTGGACCACAAAAAATTCTCTTAGTATATTCACAGATGCAGAAATCCAGAAGGTAAATTTGCTCTAAGTAAATAGCAGTACAAATTGCCACTTAAAAGGAAATTGTGAAGCTTGGAAATTTGTTATAGCATATGTGTTCTTGGGCTAGAATATGGTAGTCAATACTAGATTTGTGAAAGTTCTCATCTTGTCAGAAGACTTGATGAATATGGCATAAAAAATAGCTTTTACATTTCTGTGAGCAACAAGTAATTATTTGTTGCTATGGCTGACTTTGAAAAATTTCCTTCTCCCTTCAGTTTACTTTTAAATGTATGAGCAGCCTTTCTAAGATTATAGAATCCATACTAAGTTTGCCTGTAAGGTTCCCTTGTGGAATGGCTCTTGGTTTCCTGCACAGATATATACTACGTAATTCAGGGCAGTGTTTGTTGTTCCTCTGAGAAATTTTGTCTTCAATTAGACCGTAATTTCAGCTTCTTCAGGTGAAGATGTTTTTATTGTAGGCTGGTAGCAAGTTTAAATTTTTTTTTTTCAATCTTGGAATCACAGAACGGATTGGGTTGGAAGGGACCTTAAAGATCATCTTGCTTAAAGTGCTCTGCCATGGACAGGAAACCTTCCACTAGACCAGGTTGCTCAAAGTCCTGTCTGACTGGGCCTTGAACCTTGTCAGGTATGGGGCGCCCACAATTTTGCTAGGCAGCCTAAATTAGTTGGGTTCCACTTGTTATGATACTAACTTTGGAGGAAGATCTCTGCCCTTGTTGGAGGCTATTTGATTCTCTTGCTAACATTTCCAAACTTACATGCTTCAGTTATGCATATTGCTGGTGGTGTTACATTTGTTACTTGGTGTCTTTACTGTAAGGGAAGAGAGAAGCAAGGTTCTGGTTATGGACAGAAAATAGAAAATAGTATGAGCAGGGAAGTTACTCATTATTGATACTGAAAAAAAAGTATTTGGAAACTCATGTGGCAGGGCTCCTTCTTCTTGGCACTAGTGAGGTCTCACCTGAAGTGCTGTGGCCAGTTCAGGGCTCTCCAGGAAGAAAGAGCTGTGCTGGCTAAGCTGTCCAATGAAGGGCCACAAAGATGATGGGCAAATGGAAAATGGAGCCAGGCTGTCTTCAGCAGTCCTTGGTGACAAGACCACAGGCAGTGGACAAAAAATTAAATACAGGGCGTTCCTTCTGAACATCAGGAAAAGTTTTGCTGTGAAGGTGACTGAGCACTGGCACAGCCTTAGGGAGGCTGTGGATCTCCATCCTTGGAGATAGTCAGAAACCATCTGGACATGGTCTTGGGCATCCTGCTTGAAAAGGAGTTTGGATCAGATGACCTAAAGAGTTCCCTTCCAACCTCAAATTCTCCTGCAATTCTGTCTTGCTTGGTTGGCCAAAAATCTTTCTTCTTCACCTTCCTCATTGCCAGGCAGTTAAGTCTAGTAAATTGTTCATTTAGATGAAGAAAACCTTTGCTAGGTAAAATTGCCAGACTAACCAAATAATAGACATTTCCTTAAGTACTAATAAACCTGTTTCTGGAGGTAATCCTGAGATAATTGCTGGGATTGCCAGGAATTCTCAGTACATGCAGTCCAGGTTAACAGCATGTTACAAATTACATGGGAAGCAAATGTTCTAAGCCTTATATTGAACAGGTTAATTCTTATGGTGTTGATTCATGCTTGTTCTTTTCACCAAGCATACAACTAGTTCTTGTCATCTTGGGAAAAACTAACCAAATACAGAAAACCCTCTCTTTGCTGCTGGTTGGCAGTCCTAGGTTCGCTGATAAATGATTGCAAGTTGACTCCCACCATTGCCTCAAGGGAATTTACATACAGAATACTTGAGTAGCACATTCTTTGGTATCCCCCCATTCTCACTCTTTGTAGTTTGGTTTACTTGTTCCTGAGGAAACTATTTTTGCTCAACTGCAGCTTCTTGATGAAGTCTTTGTTTTGGTATCTGTTCAAAAAATTGGGCTAGAAGTGAATCAATCATTAGTTTACTTCAGGAAATTGCTGGCAGATAAAACTGATATCTAGAAATAGAATGGATAAATAAGGTGATGTGCAAACTGCATGTTCAGTATTTTAGAGTTTGTTTGTTTGTGAGCTTCTCAATTTACATATTAAAACTTGTTTTGATCCATCTTAGATTGCATCCTATTATTGGTGCCTACTTTAGAATATGAAATTATTTGCCTGGTTTTTTTGCAGAGGTAGGTTGTCACAATTTTTACATTGAGACCTGATCTTGAGACTATTATATATTACAATCCATGAGGTAGAAAAGAGATGGATAGACTGGAAAAGGTAACAGGAATCTTTTAACTGTCTTGGGGAGAAGCACCCTAGGGATGCTTTTTAGAGCATCCTGGCTCTAAAAATTTCATTGAATAATTTTTTTCTAATAAGTAGTCAGAATAACAGTATGTATGAAGGAGCAATTCTCCTCTTCCTCCCTCTTCCTCTGCTGTAAATTTCTGATTTTGCTTGGACTTGCTTCTTACATTAGTGTAGCATTATTGCTTTAAAGGTTCGTTTTTGTGCTTTGCTGACTTTTTTAGGTATAAATTCAGATTCATGCTACTGTTCACCTACAGTGGTGTCCAGGTCCTAAAGTGAACTCTTTCCAGTTGTGAAGAATGAGTAGCAACATGAGTGGTTTCACAGTACAATGCTGTAGGTCGCCTCTGTGCACAGGAGGTAAATGTCTTTTTCAGGTCATGTCCAAGGTCTGTAGCTTGCAGGGTAGACTGAATATGGAAGTTGAGACATAGAAGATGCTCTTTAAAATCAAGAGATCCTATTGTCATGTAACTAGAACTCTAGGTATGGGTTTGTGAGTATTGTTAACACACATTGCTAAGGTTTAATAGAAAAACTCCTTCATTAAATTTTTTAATACTCTAGAAATTGGTTTGCAAAGTCTTGCAAGAAAAATACTTCATATGATTGATTAACAAGAAAAGCAAACCATTCTTAGAAGTTGTTTATTCAATGGGTCCTGAATTTTAAGACCAAATGTAAGTTCTTTCTGTTTATTTCAGAAGCAAACTATTACTGACACTGGATGAACAGGATAGTCTTTTGTACTTGTTTTATTGATAATTAAAAATTTTATTGTAGACTTGTCTTACTAAATATTGAGAGATTCTTACTTTGTTCTAGGACAGATTCTGTAGGCTTCCTTTGATAATTAAAAATTTTAATTTTTTGTTCTAGGTTTGGAACATTAAACAGATGATTAAATTGACGCAAGAACATATAGAAGCACTGCTAGACAAATTTGGAGGCGAGCATAACCCACCTTCAATATATTTAGAGGTAAGTTTACATTCAAACAAATGTGGTTAGATTAGTGTTGTGTTATCTTATGTGAAGTATCTAAGGTTAAAACTGAGAATACCTGTATTAAAAGGGTATATTCTCCTTGTACATTACAAACTGAGCTCTATTCTAAGAGATGGAAAAGAACTGTATGGCATTCCTGGGATTCAGAAGGGGAAGATCCGTGGCATGGTGTAATAATAATGTTGGTGCGATAGAGATGTCAAGGCCCTTCATAGGGGGCAGGGGAGAGAAGATTGTGTTTATAATGAAGAAAGTCATGCTGTGTTAAAGCCAATATATACACATGAAACATTTGGTAAGACTAACTTTGCCTTTAAAGCAGTTGACTTCCCTTTTTTGTCTTTGAAAAATGGTCATGTATAATCCAAAGAATTGCATTAGTAGAAGGGGTCTTCTTACAGAAATAGATCAAATTGTGTGATGGATTAAAATTTTTACATCACTCCAGATTTATAGAGTTGCGTTGACATAGAACCATTAAGAGCTGCATGCAAAAGTTACCTCTGTTAGGAATTGAAGGGGCATCATGTACTTCAAACTTGCCCTTTTTGTGCTTCCCTCAAGTGTTGAAATAACTGGAGGTCAAACAGATTTCTTTTCTAGTCCTTTTATTTGCAATTGCTGCCTAAAGGTACTGGATAATTAAAAATAAAGATCTCATTATTTGAGGTACTTCTAGCTTTTATCTTAATATGGCAGAGCAGGGCACTAGGTTGATTATACAAACGTTGACATTACGTCCTGAACAGTTAAGGTCAAATGAGGCCCTTGGTAGTTGCTTTACGTATTGCTAATGTGAAATAGGAGTATTGAATCAGTGCTATCACTGTTTTATCCACTCTGCTACATTTAAGCACACCTCTGTTTTCACAAGGACCGGTTCATTCCATATGTTTGGATTTATTATTGCTGCATACAAGTGGGTTTCATTAGATTGTGTATCAAACTGCAACAATAATGAACTTAGTCTATACATATACATCTATAAGTCTGGATTTAAGGTAGGGAAGTTGTTAATTCAGCTATTTGTCATCAGCTTTTATTGAAACTAAAACCAAGATACATTACTGAAAGCTCTTTGTTTTGTAGGTCATTGATAGAGAAAAGAGCATTTGCAGTCATAAATAGGTATTGGAAAATTATTATAACAGCATGAAGAGTAAGTCTGAAATAGCTGGTGACCACAAATCATGAATCTGAAAGCAGATTTGCAAGTTAAATGGATCCATGTGCCACTGAGATGAAGCTCCAGCTCTGGCTCATCAGTGTGGTAGGGCAGCCCCATGAGGCAGAGCTGGGTGTTCCTCTGCTGCAGTGAGTTCCATTGGATCATGATACTTGTCTTGGGACAAGTAGTGCTGGTTCTGACTAGAGAGCCACAAACCATTGGGTAGAAGGTGAAAGGGGCTGACATTGTGCTTTTGCAGCTCTTATCCCGTAAGACAGTCCTGTGGAAAGAGCCCACCATGGCTGAAATGAAAAGCTTCTTCCCAGCTCTTTGCTATGCAGCTCCTCATCTTCCTTTGTTCAGGTACTTGATATACTGACAGTGACTGAGCTATGACCAGTCACTAAATTGTAAGGAAAATACCCCTGGTTTTGTTGGATTACTTTACCATCCAGCAGGTAGTAGTTTAAACCTCATCATGAAGTAGTCAGTGAGCTGTGCAAAACTGTGATTAAGATTAGGGAAGGGAAAGACAGCAGCCATGAGCCAAGAACTAGAAGATAGGATGAGAGAGGAAAGGAACTTTTTATTTGAATGGTCACTAGCATAAATTAGATCATCCTCAGATGCATTTATCAAGGTGAACAGGATTAAATGCTGCAAACCTGTAATTTGTGTAGTGTGTAGGCTTCCTGTGGTAGAACTGAAGTGTGAAAGGAAAAAAAAAAAAGAAGCAATCTATTGCTGAATGCCAGGTACAGTTAGAAGCAAGATTACTCTCTACATTTGACTGTTAATTTCAGTTAATTTCAGCAGTTGTCTAGTGTGTCCTTTCTGTGCCTTTCCCACCTTTTGGCTTGGTCAAGACGGGGCTTGCTTTCTTTTCTCAGAATTTACTTGGCAACAATTTATCTGAATCTAACCTGTCACTGCTATAGCTCATGTTTTGACTTCCTGTATTCCATCACTTGTCAGAGAAAGGGCCAGAAAAACTCTGGTTGCAGTACAGAAGAACAAAGCTATATGTAAAAAGTTTTGAATGTAGTGTGATAAAGTGTGAAAGAACATGTTTGCCTCTAGGAAATGCAGAACTAAGAAAACATAGTGGTTTTGATACAAATAAAAATATGTCTGTCTGATGTGTTAGAAATAGCAAACTTCCCATGTACAGAGTTAGTGTGTGATATTGGGTCTGAGGCTCAAGTTCTGTACCAGGGTGTCATCACTGTCTTCTGTGGAGGGCTCTTCTCTCCCCTTAAGCTCTTACCTGTAGTCTGTGAGTAGGTCTGGAAGTGGTCTGTGTAGTCTCACCAAAATGCTTGGCTGGGAAGGTAGTGGAACTTAGATTCCATCCATCATCTTCTGATCTATTTTTATTGCTTTGCCAAAGACTTATTTCTGGCTGTAATATAGTCCTGCTTTTACCCACAATCTGTATGAATAATTTTGGTAGTATGTTACTTGAACTGCATCACCCTTCCTTTTGTTGCCTTAGATTCATAGAGTGGGTTAGGTTGGAAAGGATCTTTAAAGGTTGTCCAGTTTAACCCCACCTGCAGGTTGCTCAGAGCCCCATCCAACTTGGCCTTGAATGTTTCCAGGGGTGGGGCATCCACCACCTCTTGGACAACTGTGCCAGTGTTTTACCACCCTCATCATAAAAGTTTTCTTTCTTGTGTCTAGTCTGGATATACCCTCTTTTAGTTTACAACCATCAGCCCTTGTCCTGTAACAGCAGGCCCTACTAAAAAGTCTGTCCTCATCTTTCTGATAGATCACTTTAAATATCAAAAGGTCTTTTAACTATTACAGGCTGAACAATGGCAGCTCTCTCAGCATGTCTTCATAGGAGAGGTGCACCAGCCCTCTCATCATCTTTGTCACCTTGCTTTGTACCCTCTCCAACTGGTCCATGTCCTCTTACATTGGGAGCCCACAGCTGAATGCAGCATTCGAGTGGGGTGTCAGAAGAGGGGCTGCTGGCCATGCAGTTCAAGGGAGGTGATTTTGATGCAGCCCAAGATATGGTTGGCTTTCTGAGTAGTGAGTGCCAGCTCATGTCCAACTTTCCATTCAGCAGTACCAGTTCTGCAGGGTTGTTCTCAATCCCTTCATCCCTCAGCCTGTATTGATTAAAATTCTTCTCCTGCTCTGACCTCTTTGCATCTTCCATAAAATGTGAGTGACTCTTAAAGACTTCTTAAGAGAGTAGATTGTGTCTCTTGATCATCTCTTGAGGTTGCTATCACCAAGCATGTTGTCTTCTTTTAGCAAAAGTCTAAATTAGCCAAAACTAAATGCTAGGTAAGCATCTGCAAATGAATGCTTTTGCTTACACCCATATTGCCTTTCACTGGATGTAAACATCTAGTTTTATTGTAATGCTTCTTGCAAAACCATGGCTATTTTTATTCTTCTGACAAGTTTGACAGCAAGCCATCCCTCTTCCAGTGTGTAGATTTTCAGTATCATAGATTGTTTGGTTCTTTTGTACTCCTGCCTCGCTTTACATCTTTAATGTACTACTTCTCACTACCTGCTTGTGTTCACAGAAATTGCAGCACCCTGTACACTGGCTCCTGGCCTGTGTTGGAGCTGCCTCTGAAGACCTGTCAAGTGAAGTTGTGGTTGAACCAGGTGACAACATTGCCTTTTCAATTAAAAGTGAAAGGAGGGTTTGGGGGGAGCAGAAGCTTGTGAGAAAATGAAGAATTCAACAAGAAAATTAATCTGAAAATTGAGCATTCAAAGGTTATAATACAATTATTTGTGCATTGACTATACAACATACATCTCATGTAAAAACAAAAAGTAATTTATACCTTAGTTACTGTTGCTCAAGAAATAGAAGCTTTTGTTTCTGTATTCATCTGAGAGTGAAGACAAAGTTTTCACCCTTCTCAGATTTAATTTTTTTCCCAAATTCAGGAGAGGGTGTCAATGCATTTTACATCAAAAGAACTTTAAAACTGACAGCTGTTGTTGCAGCCATCATTTCAGGTTTCATCAACTGACTACGAAAGACAAAAGAGAATGCTTTTCTTGAAATATTGAAAGTGATTGACTTGTGCTGTGTTGAATTCAGGATATATTTATTATTCCTGCAAGAAGGGATACTCAAATTCAGGGGTATCTCCCTGCCTTGATCCATCACTCCTCAGTGATGGTCTTATGAAGGTCAGTGTGCAGCAGGGGGAATAGAGCAGAGCGTGGAAGCCTGGGTGGAAAACATAGTGTGAAGCTGGAGGGCAGCAAGTTGCATGCCCTGGTCCTCCCTGGACAGGAAAATTAGGGCTCAGGAGGGAGACCAAAGCTGCAGAGTGACTTCTGTGTCTAAGGTACAGGGGGAGGAAACAAAATGTACAGAAGAAAGAAAAGAACATTTGTCATTAACCACAGAATTTTCTTCTAATCATTATAACTAGTAATAGCTTTGGGAATCTTGTCAGTGTTCTCTAATGTGATGGTAAGAAAAGCTTTTCTGTTTGTTCTGTCTGGAAGAAAGAATAAACCTAGTAAGCAATGACAGTATTAAAATCCAAAAATGGCTTGTAGGCAAATTTCCTTCTTATATAATCTTGTCTTTTAACTTTTCCCATTTGCTGTGTGTGACCTCAGCTCAAACAGACTCCTGGAAATCACTGTCACACCACAGAATGGTTTGGGTTGGAAGCAACCCTAAAGATCATCAGGTTCCAACCTCCCTGGCATGGGCTGGAACCCTTTCAGTAGACCAGCCTGCTCAAAGCCCCATCTAGCCTAACCTCTAGAACAGGGATGAGGTGTCCTCAGTTTCTCTGGGCAA